TCTCTCTCTCTCTCTCTCTCTCTCTCTCTCTCTCTCTCTCTCTCTCTCACACACACACACACACACACACACACACGGATGCTATGAACATCGTGCTATACATTTTACTAAAGATGTATCTTACAGGCATTTTCACATCACATTTGGGGACTAGCTGACTCTAACGACTGTATTCCTTTTATTTGCCAGTTTATAACTAAGAAACATTTAAGCTATCCACTGGCTACTTCTGGTTTCTTTCTTCTGACTAAGTATGTGGTCTTGAGTTACTAACTTCTACTCCAGTCATAGTATTGATATTTCCCATCCTTTATTGTTCTCCCATGTATCCATCACTGTGATTTAGAGGCTTGATTCAATAAGCTTCAGTTATTCACCATAGAGACCCAATATGCACACCTAGGAAACTTCCAGAAGAAGAAAACCAGGCTACTTTCTAAAAGACAAATCAAAACAAAACAAAACTCAACCAAACAACAACAACAACAACAACAACAAAACCCCACATATTTATTAAAGTTTAATCCATCCAGCAGGGATAAAAAGAAATTGAACTGTCATGGAAGGCAGTGTGGAGCAACAAGCTGATCCAGCCTTAAATTCCCACAATGTCATCATGGAAAAGCATCCACCATCATCCTATTGGAGGAGGGTGGAGTACAGGCTCTGTTGAGGGGCTCCATGAGAGGCTTATTGAGCAGGGTGCCAGCACCTCCCCACATTCACATCCTGAACCAGTGCATGACTTCTCTTCCTGATCTTGTCACACAAAGTATGTTTATTTTCTGTGAAATTTGAACTAGAAAATTTCAACCTCAGGGACAGGTGGAACACAACTAGCCAAGATAAAGATTCTAAGTCAACATGGGGCAAAGCAAATACTGTGTATAGCTCTAGAGTATCTAACCCTGTCTGGACATCTCCTAGAAGGCCAGTTTCCTAATGTTAGGAACAAATCTCTAACACCCTCAGACTGAGACTTAGAATGGTTGAATTTTAGTCCGTTTGAGTGGGTGTGACCTGGTGTTGTGTCCGTCCCTCAAGTCAGACAGGCCTCCACAACTTCAACATGGAAAGAAAGAGATGCCATTGTGAGCCAGCTCGAGGCTCCTTTTCTATGCCAGAGACAGGACAACCAGGCACAAGGCAAGCTCCCTGACCGAAGGCTGGGTCCAGTGCTTGGAGACGAATCACCACCCCATCCTACCCTTGTGACTGGAGGAGTCTAGCTCAGGGTTGTATCCAGAAAGTCAGACTAGATCCATAATGAAAGAATTATGAGTGGGCACAGGTTTGGGTGCTGGTCACTGAATAAGCACCACACCCGAATAGACCTATACACCAGTCTCTTCCATGAAGGCAAACTTTTCTCCTGCAATAAAAAAAAAAAAAAGGGAGATGGGAAAGAGAGTGGAACTGGGAGGAACTGGGAAGGGGTTGAGGGTAAATAAGATCAAAATATATTGTTCGATGAATGAAATTCTCAAAGAATTAAAATTCTCTTAAAATGCCACATCTTTAAGAGATGGAGAATGATAAAGAAAGACATCCCATGTCCTCCTCTGGCCATCACATCAGGTGTGGGCAACACACACACACACACACACACACACACACACACACACACGCACAATCTCAAAAGTTTAAAAAGTCTACAGAAAACTAAGAAAAACTAAACTAAGTACCAAAGGGAAGAGCTGAGAACAGCCGTCTATGGAAGCTGTGCTAAGGCTGAAAAGCAGGAAGAACATGGATGCTGATTTTTTAATACTATTTACTATATACACATTTATTTACATAGATTATTTAATTTAAATTAGTTTAAAAACTACTACAAGTTCACAGAGTCCAACTGCAAAGGAATACTATATAGTCATGAAAGAGAGGTGATCATATGAGAAAGTTATCTACAACTAAAAGCTCAGGATGGACTCTGAGTGGAAATGATCAAGTCAGGTTCCAAAGCAGAACTGACACTCACTGATAAAGCCATATCCAGACAGATGTACAATATTTTATTAGTGATCATAACTTGAAAGTGGGATGTCAATTTTTGTTTATTTTTTCATGATTACATATTATCTGAATTATTTGTTTTGTATTCAATGAGTTTTATTCTCATTATTTTAAGAAATAAAAATTATCTTCATTAGAGAAAGGTATCATGTATTAAGTTGAGATTTACAATTAATAATTGGATTTAATAAGTCATGAAGAGACCAGATGTGAAGGAACCTGAGGCAAGAGAATATTGAGTTCTGAGCTAGATAGCAATACCCGGGCTCAAAAAAAGGGGATGGGACATGTGTGGAGAGCATGAGGAATAAATCAAAAATCCCTAAAGGACTCTAGGTAAGAATTTTAAAAGCATAAAGAACATTAATGATCAGAAAGCAATGCTAGAAAACATAGTAGATCATATCACTCTAATCATTGGCTACCTTAGACTAATTGGAAAAGGAACAAAGGTCTAGCAACCACATGGTACATTTGACCATGTAGAAAACTGTACTAGGAGATTATTAGAAACACAAGAAAAATTAAAGTATACAGATAAATGAAATTAATGAAAAATAAAGCTATCAACTTAAAACCTCCCCTGGTCCTTCATAAATGACAGAGAACAACAATAATAATTCTAGAAACTAAAATAATTGAGAGCACTTTCTACTAACAAGTAGAGAAAAGAAATACAGTGGATATCTACCTGTTTGGGGGAGGGGAGGGGCTCCCTATTTCAGAGGACTGAGGGGCGCCTACCTGTTTCAGAGCAGGGGAACACGGGATCAGCTCTCCTATTCTGTTTATCCCAGCATTGATTTTCTTCTTTCTGTGCCTCTCCACTAGAAAGAGGAAAAACACATTATCAACCCTTATACTACTTGGTCAAGGTATCTAACTTCTCAGGGTAAAGGAACTGTCAGGAAAGAATAATACAGAAGAGGCTGGGGGTCCTGCAGCTCAGTGGCAGAGCACCTGTCTAGCATGGACATGGAAAGAGAATTGAACCCTGGGCCAAAAATCATTATTTACCCAAAACAAGGAAGGTTGTACATAAGCTTTCTAAGAATAAAAAATTTTAAATCAAAATGATAGACATTGTAAAGAAAACCATAAGTAATAACAACATTAAATTATAAAAAGGAATAATTATTATTAGGTCATCTTTCCATTATAATTAAAATAACTAGTAGAGATTTACTGATAACAAATTTATTTTTCAAATTCACTTTTATCTTGTTTCATGTATTATTTATTTATTTTAGAGCACGATTAATAAAAACTCATAGAGAGAAACTGGGGTTCTACCTGAAGATCCAAAAAGCAAAAGAGTCAGCTACTGGCTCTTAACTTCAACCTCAGTCTGAAATGATGATCCTGCCTCCAGGAATCTCAGAATGAGACTGTGTCTGAGAGCTGTCTCCTCCCGTTTTATAAGCCTCTCTAGGGCTGGGAGTAAATGTGTGTAACACTAGAATTAAAGGCACGTACTGTCTGGTTTCTATGGCTACTGGGATTAAGTGTGCATGTTACCACTCCCTGGTCTGTAAGGCTGACCAGTGGGGCTGTTTTACTCTCTGATCTTCAGGCAAGCTTTATTTATTAAAATACAAATGAAATGCCACTACATGTGTGTGTGTGTGTGCACGTGCATGCATGTGCACATGTGTGCGTGTATGGCGTGTATGTGTACAACACATACATAGGGGTCAGATGATGATTCTTTCCATCATGTCTGTTCCAGTTATCAAACTCAGGTTACCCTGCTCAGTGGCAAGCCACTTCACCTGCTGAGCTATATCACAACAGCCCAATAACCAAATTGAAAGAAACCACTAATAAGTTACCAAAAAGCTGTCTCTTTTGGGTAAATGAGACCTTTCTTTAAATTTTAAGATCCTTGTGTAGAATGACTAGGCCCTTTTGAAATAGAAGTAGCTGTTGGGTGTGTCTTAAGATAGCTAAGAAAAGGTATTGGCTTGGTTTTCTATAGTTTCTGGAACACCCACTCTGGCCAGGTACAATCTTTTTTTTTTTTTTTAATCTAAGAAACAGAGTACAAGATAGCTATAACATCAACTTAACATAGCCTAAGATCACCTTTTAAAAAAAGATAATTTTAATGAAGAATTATCTAGATCAGGTTGTCTTGTGGTCTTATCTGTGAGGGGCTGTTTTAACTGCAAATTGATGTAGTAAAACCTAGTTCATTGTGGGTGACTCCATTCTCCAGAATGATAGAAGAGAATGTCCTGAATGGTATAAGAAAGGAGAAAGGTAGTTAAAAGCAAACAAGAACGTATTGCTTCTTTGCTCTTGATCTTGAATGTAATGTGACTAGCTGCTTGGGTTTCCCTTGGTGACTGACAGTAACTTAGAACTTTAAGTCAAATATTTGTTCCTCCCTATGCTGCTTTTGGTCAGGACATTTCATCATGGCAACAGAAATAATGAAACTATGCTACTGAAAACTTGTCAATTAACTGCCAAAATGTTCTAGACTGACATACTAAACACTAAATAAGAGTACACAAGAATTCATATAAATAATTTCTATAAGATGCTGAAAGTAAAAACATGCCTAAGAGCTGGAGAGATGGCTCAGCAGTTGGGAGCATGTATTGCTCTTCCAGAGGACCAGATCCAGTTTCTAGCACCCACATTAGATGGTACACAATCACCTGTAACTCTAGCTCCTAGGGGATCCAAACCTCGGTGGGCGCGCGTGCGCGCGCGCACACACACACACACACACACACACACACACACACACACTCCTCTTGGCTATCTCTTAAAGGCTTCCTTTCTAATAACTGATGGGTAGGCTCTTAAGTGTGGTTTACTTTATTAATTTCTAACAATAGTACTCATTGTTATAGAAGAGCGGATTTCAAAGGTGATAAATTCATTCCAACAGTGTTCAATGCAGCTTTCTGGATAAACTCTCCCCAGCAATCTTTTATGTATAGCTATAGTTACAGATACAGATTAACAGAAAGCAATTTATATATTTTTTTCTGAGTGGAGAATGCAGTCCCTGATTAAAAATAAAATGTTACAGACTATGTCAAAGTGAAAATGGATACACAATAAACATCTTACATGTCCCTGAGGTAGCCTGTACTTTTAACACGTGAGGTAAGATCATATTAATTTTATACATTTGTTTCTATAATAGAAATCTATACAATTTAGAATTGTCCACATGTAGCTGGCATAGCAGCACAAGCCTGTAATGAGGAGACAGAGGCAGGTGGATCTCTGTGGGTTTGAAGTCAGCCTGGTCTACAGAACCACTCTTATTTCACAAGTAAGACTGGCACATGCAAAGAGTCCATGGCTCATCTCTTTCTTCCTTAGGGAGCTGCCCCTCTAAAACCTTTTCCCAATGTCCTGAGTGAAAGCCTTCCAACACTGGTCCCCCAAATAGTCTAATATCATAACTAATCCAAAGTAGGCTGCAAATCAGGTGTTACAGTCAGCTCTGTGAGGCTCTGGGAATATTTTGTCAATAGAGACAATAAAGATGCCCTTTCTAAAATATAACAAATAGTTTTATGTTCACAACATAAAAATGTATAATCAACTATGGCACAATCAATTCCAGCAGAGTTCCAGTTGCAGTACGCACCTGCATTGTGTGTCTCCCGGTTCTTCTTTCTGAAACAGAAGCACACAGATAGGAACATGAAGATAATAAAAAAGAATGTTTTCCTAACCATAAAAATAAATATTATGAAACTGTCTTTGTTGCAGCAATAAAGAACACCCAAAGAAAATAAAATTAGTTCATATTACGGCATGAGAACCATAATGCAGATACTTTCAAATAAATCCAATAGAAAGCATTTCCGGAAGAAAGAGCAATTCTCTACTGATACCAGAAATCACATGCTAGAACAGAATTGATCACTGAAAGCCTTTGAAAATTTTGAAATTTTGAGCATTTTGAAAATGCTCCTTATCTGTGGCTGTGCCTGGAAGTGGCTGGGACTGCAGGCAGGAGTGAGTAGGAGGGTGTACAACAGCGAGGTGTAGCTTGGTGAGTCCCAGCAAGGCAGATGTGGCGGCAGCAGCACCTTCGGTGTCCCCTGCATACCATCATCTTTCTCATCTGTGTATTCACATTTTCCAACTCTTACCTTTCCTTAAAAACTTATACTAAAGACTTCCCCATTTTGCATAATTACTCAACACATTAGCATTAACTGATAGTTTTTTGGTAAGGAAATAGAATACAGTAGTTTCAACCTTACTGAAAAACAGCAGCCACACAATTCTAAGCAGACATTGCCTAAAATGTTAGAAACTCAGGACAGGAGCTATAAGAAAATGAAAGTAATGCTGCGTATACTGTCATTAATGGATTATAATGTTACAAACTAAGTACAATCTAGATGTTTCAGGATACCAGTAAAAATGTCCTTAGGAAGCAAACACATAACAAAAATTTGGTATAATTTTTAAAATTAAATATTTTTTTTACAACTCAACCATAGTTTTCCTTTCCTCCTCTCCCCCCAGTCCCTCCCCCCATCTACCTCCCCTCTGCTCACCCCCATCTACTCCTGCGTCCTCCTATGGCTATCAACCAAACATGGCACATGATGTTGCAGTAAGATTAGGCACATCCCCTCATACCAAAGCTGGGCAAGGCAACCAAGTATGAGGAATAGGGTTCCAAAAGCTGGCAGAGTCAGAGACAGCTCCCACTCCCACCATTAGAAGTCCCACAAGAAGACCAAGCTACACAACTGTCACACACATGCAGAGGGCCTAGGTCAGTCTGATGCAGCCTCCCTGGCTGTCGGTTCAGTCTCTGTGAGCCCCTATGGTTGCTGTTGTACTACTGGTGACCATCCTTACTTGTCAGACTGCTGAGAAAACAAGGACAGCTAAATTTTAGCCATGAATCTCCTTTAGTAAATCTATTTTATTGTCCATCCACACATAGTTTGGAGATTAATCATTTTCTAGGCATCTAAATACAGGTTCACTAGGGGTTGTTTAGCAAACTAGCAGCTAATTCTGTTTCTCCCCTGCCTACATGGTACAGTCTGGGGCTGTGGATACACACCTGTGCTGTTTTTTCGTTGGCGTCTCATGCTCTGTCATTTCTGGCATGGTGGCAGTAATAGGAACCTACAAAGAGATAAAGAGACAGATACACCATGGCATTTAGTCATTGTAGAGTTTGGAGAAACCAAATGGCAATTTTGATTTTGATAAAAAAAAAAGCTAAACAAGCAAACAAAAACAAAACACTTGTCATAGATTAAAAGGGTTTAAGAAAATAGGATACATGCTTGACATCTCAGTACTAGGAAGGTTGAGGCAGGAGGATCATGAGTTTAGGGCCAGCCTGAGCTACATGGCAAGTGTCAGACTGTTGGGGACTGTGGACCCCCAGACCCTGAATTTTCTATGACCCCTTGCCTGCCACAGTGAACAGCTTGTTTTCCTGTGCCTGCAACTGCCCAGCTGCTCTGAGCACGAGACCCTCATGAGTTCCTGATGGCAGGGAGTGGTTTCTGGTGGGCTTGCAGCTGAAAAATTCTGAGAGCTAGGGTGTGGCCAAGGAGAGTCCTATATAAGCTGCCCGGGAACACAATAAAGGGAGCATTCTTGTTTCAAGAGTGACCCATGTCTGTGTGTGTGTGTGTTTCAATCTCCAGTCCCTTGCCCGGCTCGTGAGCCATCCCACAGGACACGTAGTAACACGAGGCCACCACACCAAACTAGTCCTGGCTTCACAGTAAGCGCTCCCTGGTAAGGCTGGTGAAGTGCTTGGCCAGCATGAACTGTAAGAACACACTGCCAGATCACCCTCCAGAAACAACAGAGGACGAACACTATTATAAGCAGCAGATGCAAATCACGGTGAGGCTTTTTAGCTTCCAAGTGCCAGCAGTCTAATGTTATCAACGGAGACTTCACTACAATGTGGGAGTGAAAGCTCTACCGATATTTAAAATATGAAGACTATATTTTACTATACAGTCCAGGGATGATCTCAAAACTTATAATCTTCCTGTCTCAGCTTCCTGAGTGTTGGGTAGTTACACCACTACCCGGGTAAAAATGAAGTCCTACAGGGAAATGCACACACGAATGGAAAGGGCCTGGAGGTGGAAATATTAACACATGAAGTGCAGGCATGCAACGTCAGCGATACTACTGTGATTTCTTTCAGTCGTCTCTGATTTTTCCAGAGTTTGATTATGTAAATATTAATGCTTAACTCTCAGGAACTGGCAACCAACCTTCCAGAAGAGGCTGTCAAGCTAGGTGGCCTGCAGGACTACAGGGGAGGAGGTACGAATGCAACTCCCCCTTTTTCTTCTGGGAAGGGAAAGAAAGTACTGAGTACAGAGGTGAACTCAGAATGCAGGAGTTTAAAACCTGACTGTGCCACTTCCTAGCTTTTGGCTATGGGCTAACTGTTTACCCCTTTGAAGCCTGAGGTGTTTTATCTGCATAATTGGGTTGTTTTGAGAAGGGAATGAAGTCAGACAAGGAAGGCACAACACCTTGGGGCCTGGAAGCAATAAGACTGCAGGAAATGTTAGCTCTGGATATTTGCAAGATATTTTAGAACAAGCACCAGCCCTCGACAGGAGGGAAGGTAGACAAGGGACTGACAAGAAGAAGGCACTGACTGATGTGCCGTGTGGGGAATGTGTAGTCGAAACTCCTCTCCAGGGCTGGTAAGGGGGCTCAGTGGGTAAGAGTGCTACCAAACCTGAAGATCTGAGTTCCATCCCAAGACCCACACTGTAGAAAGAGGAACTGACTCCTGCAAGTTGTTTTCTGACCTCCACACACGTGTCATAGACGCGCGCACACATACCACAAAAAAAGAAGCATTATGATTTTTTTTTTCAAAAACAACTCACTTCAGCAGCCTGCTCCTGTTCTACCTTCTCCTTACAGACAACCACTCGCAGTGGATAACCACATAACAGTGGTGTGGGGCAGTCAGCACGTAAGGACCCTAACAACCCGCTTCCTTTCTCACCCAAGGGCTCGCAGAGTTTCTTCACTTTGGATTCCTAGCTTCCAACTCCTCTTTCTCGTTCAAATCTACCATCTTCTGCCAAAAGACGGCCTCTATAGGTTATGTTCTCTTCTTACTATAAGAAAGAAAGAACAATGAGTGTTTATAGGCACCAGTTAGGCATGAGGTGAAGCTGGCAACTAATGGCATGCAGGCATGTTTGAGAGGAACACGGTGATCCTGACGGCTCCCCACCAATGAAGAACATGTGAATGGAATTCCTCTCAAAAGCCCTTTTCCAATGGATAATCCATGTTCTACCCTAAAAACAGTGGGTCTTACAGACAGGGAGGGCATGTGGACATGCTCTCTTCTATTCTGTTTGCTCATGGTCTCTTGGACCCTCATTACCCATGGATCTCTAAAGACCTCCATGTTATGTCTAATAGTAAGACTAGCCCTCAATTCTACAATTAACTTTACAGTTCCTATTTCCCTTACATAAAATTTTATTTATTCTCTACATGTGCATGTGTATGTGTAGGCACATGTGAGTGTGTAAATAAGCATGCATGAGGACATCCCGGTGTCCAGTTATCTTGATTGCCCTCTATTCTTTTTGAGGCAATGAATCTCAGCTGAACTCAGAGCTTGCTGTCAACATGGCTAGTCTCCTTAGGCAGCTTGTTCTGGGGATCTTGTCTCTACCTCCAGAGGCCAGAATTACAGGTGAGCCACTACCTGGTATTTGTGGGGTTTGGAGATCTGAACTCTGGTCCTTTTGGCTCCCACAGCAAGTGCAGTAAGTGCTAAGTCATCTTCCTGCCCCGGTCTTTTCTGTAGGAGTGACTGAAAACTTGAGCAGAGGTAGTAAGACAGGCTGAAGGCCTGTGCACTGTGTGTGCAGCAACACTCTACAGCTTCAACCAGACTGACAAGCGACGAGCTGTAGGAGGGTCTAGGATCCTAAATTTTCTTTGATGACATCCCTTTCTTCTCTTTCTCTATGCTTAGAATGTCTAAGAAACTTAGCTCTGTTTTAGGGCAATGTTTCCTAGGCATAGATAATATGTCTTTGAGTCTACAGGTGAGAGACAACATGTGGGATTTATGGTTCTGAGCCTAGGTTTACCTTACTTAAAATGTTTTACAGTTCCATTCATTTTCAGGACATTTCATAACTTCATTTTTCTTTACAACTGAGTAAAATCCGTGTGTGTGTATTACAGTAACCATTCATCTGTTCATGGACATCTAGGCTGATTCTATTTCCTTACTATTGTGAAGACAGCAACAATAAACATGGATGCACAAGTGTACCTATAATAAGAGCACATATAATCTTTTGGGTTTATGCCCAGGAATAGTATATATCAAGAATGGGTCATACATATATGGAAACTCCTTTAGTTTTTTTTCCTGTATGTTAATGTGTGTGGATATTCATGCACTCGTGTGTGCAGTGTGTACACATGAGTGTGCTGGTGCACCCATCTGTGAAGGCCACAGAAGGACACCGCTTTCCATTTGATTGCCCCCTTTCATAGCTTTCTATTTTGTCTTCTTGCTTTAGCTAAGATTTTGAAAACTGTATTAAATAAGAGTGAAGAAAGTGGACACTCTCTTCTGTTCCTGATTTTAGTGGAAATGTATTCAAGGGAGGGTGTTATTGTAGCCACTATGGAAATCAATGTGGAGCCGTCTCAAAAGACTTCAAGTTAGAGCCGGGGAAGTGATTCAGTGGGCAAAGTGCCTGGTGTGCAAGCATAAGCAGCTAAGTTGATTCTCAGCACACACATAAAAAGCTAGGAGAGAAGCACATGCCTGGAATCCCAGTCTGGACGGACGAAGACAGCTAGATCCCACAGGCTCAAGGGTCAAAGTCCAAGTAAAACAACAGTTCCAGATTCAGTGAGAGACTTTATATTAAAAGAATTAAAATAAGAGCTTGGCATGGTGATGCACACCTTTAATCCTAGCACTCCAGAGGCAGAGGCAGTCGGATGTCTACAAAGTAAGTTCCAGGACAGTGAGGGCTGTTACAGAGAAACCTTGGTTGGGGAAACAAAACAAAATTAAAATACGGTCAAGGATAATGGAGGAAGGTACTCTTGATCAACCTCTTGTCTTCATATGCGCATGCACAGGTAAGTGTACATGTCCACACATGCACATACATACATATATCAGACAACAAATGTACACATGCACACAAAAAGATCTAAAAGGGATGTAGATTAGAAAGAAAGAAGTTAAATTATTCCTATTTGTAGATGACATGATTCTATACTTAAAAACCCCATGGAGTTCTCTCTCTCTCTCTCTCTCTCTCTCTCTCTCTCTCTCTCTCTCTCACACACACACACACACACACACACACACACACACAATCTGGATATGACAAATAACTTCAGAAAAGCAGCAGAATACAAAATCTTTGGTATGGTATGTGATTACATGGATATAATCACAGCACTGAGGGGGTTGAGGCAGGAGCACCATGAATTTCAGGTCAGCTGGAGTTACATAGAGAGAGCGTATCAGAGTCAGAAGCGAGGGGCCAGAGGCTGATGCTGGTGGTTTCCTCCCTCACTCTTGTTTGTGAGACAGACACTGACTGACTAGCAGGGCCCAGTGTACTCCTGTCCCTTCCTCCTCGGCACTAGCATTACAGGCATGAGCCCCATGCCTAGCTTTTACACGGGTGTTGGTGATGCGAACTCAGTTCCTCAAGTACGCAAGGCAAGCACTTAACTGATGCAGCTATCTCCCCACCCTCCACAATTTACATTTCTGATATTAAAAAACAACAAGAATGAAGGACTACATTACCATAACTCGTCATCTACTTACCAATTAACCTACTAATGAAGACATGGCTTTTCTTCACTTCTTGGCACTAGTGCTAAATAACTCAGGGCCTTAGACCACTTGAGTCACATACACAGCCCAAATGGCATTTTTAATACAATATTTATATGACTAAATAAACATACTCCTTAAAATAGTTAAAGTGCCATGAATTTTTAAAAATAAATGCTAAAATTTATATTAATAATCTATGAGTTATTATATCTGCGTGGAAAGAAACAATTACTGGGAAAGCAACCAAGCTCAGTGGCTCATACATGGTGGTTCTCAGAATTCATGCATCTAATCACATGATCTAGGAGGTAAAACTCAAACACAAATTCCAAACATTTTAAATACACCATGCAGTGAGGTTTGACAGATGGACACACTTCTAGGACCCAATCCTCATCAAACTAAAGATATTATCAAAGTTCCTTCTTGGCTTTTCCTAGTCAACCCCTTCCCAGTTTAAAAAGTAATGATACTGTTTCCTCCTCTGGATGTTATATAGACGTATTAGCTGAAATTCTTTTGTAGCAAGCTAACACTCAGCTTAATGTAAAAGTATACACTGCTTCTTATTTACTAAGGATGAACCTAAACTGTGTATGAACCTGTAACACTAGCTTTTTATCCATTTTTCTGTTGACGGATTGCCGCTTTGTTCACTGAATGCCACAGGCACAAATTATAAACACTGTAAGGAAAGACAGCCAGCTGAGCACTTTGCGCTGGTTGATGGTATCTGAACAGTTTCCTAACTAGCAAAGGACATATTAGTTGCATGGGGGATTTCTTCCCTAAAATAAAGCTCAGGCATGCTCTGAGGGAGGCTACCTTGCATAGCTTTGTCTAGCTTAGTATTTGGACCCATCCCTCCTGCCTGTGAGGGTGCCAGGATCTTCTTGTCCTGTTGCTGCCCAAGGCAGGTTCCGCTCTCTACATCACTAACACATTGTAGGTCACTAACACATTGTAGGTTGTGAAATCCTGGGTTTGCCTGTAGTTTTCTTTGGCCTCTCAGTCTCTGCATTTGCTGTCTTTGGTTACTGACTCTCATAAACTGGGTTCCCCGAAACAACTAATGGGTATGGAGTTTCTTTTCTAGATAATAAAAGTGTTCTAAAACTTTACTGTGACAATGACTATATGACACTGTGGACATCCTAAACCACTGAAGTTGGTGTTGAGTGAAGGAGGTATACAAATGACACCTCGATAATCTTTTTCTTTCCTCTCTCTCTCTCTCTCTCTCTCTCTCTCTCTCTCTCTCTCGTCTCATCTAGCACAAGCTGCCAACAAACCTACTATATAGCCCACTTGGTCTTGAACTGATGTTCCTGCCTCAGCCTCCCAAGTGCTAGGATTACAGGTATGAGCTAATCCAAAGTCATATTAACACAGAAGCAATCTAATTTAGGGATTTTTTGTTTTGTTTTGTTTTTGTACAACAAAATTTTCAAGTCACTTACTTTACATGTAATTAAAGTTTGAAACTGGAATTCTAGTACTAATACAATTCAAAAGTGAGACTGGGGGGTGAACAAAGCTCAAGAGTCTAGTTTCAAAGCTGACTACAAAGTCAGAGCAATCCAAGGAACGATACTAACATACAGAATACACACATGAATGAAACAGGGTAAGAAATATTCAAGGTAATCCTTCGCCATTGGGAAACACCTTGATGGGCCTCTTGCAGACCCCTATGCCAAATCCAGTTCAGTCTAGAGGAAACTTCTTCCAATTAAAGAACCTAATGCCTATTGCAAGAAACCATACTGCTCTGGATAGTAGAACAGCTAAAGAAGAGAGAATAAAAAATTCAGAAGAAATCACAAAGCAAACATTTTGGCAAACTTCTATAAATGATAAAAGACCAAAGTTAAAAATATGAATAAATGGCATTATAATTAAGGGTTTGGTAGACAAAGTGACAGATGTAACAATAATTGCACCAGAATCTTGAAGTCAAATTGGCCTCTTGAGGAGATAAATGTTTCAACTTTTATGAACTGGACCTTTATATCAGGTAAAACATGAGAATGTATAGGATCAGAAAAACAGATAGGGGGCTGGAGAGATGGCTCAGTGGTAGAGCACTAACTGCTCTTCCAGAGGTTCTGAGTTCAATTTCCATCAACCACATAGTGGCTCACAATCATCTAAAATGAGATCTTGTGCCTTCTCTGTGCTTCAGACATACATGCAGGCAGAACATTGTATACATAATTAATTAATTAAAGAACAGAGAGGAAAATTAAAGCCATACATGGCTAACATAGCAATGAATTTATAGGGGTGTGATTT